GGAACTGCTGCTGCCCGCCATCTACTCAAGCGTGGCCGCTGTCTGCTCAAGCGTACAATGGTTGCGGCCATGTCATGCGTACACCTTGATGTGGAGAAAGGTTTGTGCGATCAACACTTGAGCACCCTAGCAGTTTGTATGTAGCAGGCAGGTGTTGATTGAATCCAAGATTAAAGATGCCCGGTGCCCTTTGATCTAGGAGAGAGATAAGATATAGTGCGGTGTAAGCTTAGAACCATCAAATGTCTCTTAAGGTTGTATTGAAAAATTTAGAAGTAAACCGAAGTAAACTGATAAGAAGCAGGTGTTCAGGTGCTTCTTATGATGAAGTAAACTGATATTTGCTGGGCTGGGTTGTATTGAAAAATTTAGAAGGGTACCTGCTGACACATAGAAACAAGTTGAGTTTTATATTAAAAAGTTTGTGTTCTAATTTGCATTTGCACATCCAAAATGATTTCGGTATTAGCAGAATGAAATTTGGGTGTGCATGCTGCTGCTTGGCTTCACTGCTTTCTTTTTCAGTTGTATGCCAATTGATGCTTTTGTTTGCCGCATGCCAACACTTGGGCTACCGTATGATTTATGTTTGATTTCAGATTGTGCATATGTCTTCAAGTTACTTTAATCAATATTCCATCTATTTTTACTAGATTTGTCACATCCACATGTTCAGTTGACCAAATATTAACTGATTTGTTGTTGCTTATTGACATGGCATATTTACATAATACAGATATAGATGTGCTTGCCCTATTATTAGTCCTAATGATTATAGTTACAAATATTTGTTTACTCTACACATGGATGTACTGTCTATTAGTCCCTTCTTTTATAAAATGAAACTGCAGTATAGCACCCATTTAGTATTATAATGACCTTCAAAGAAAAGCTGGCTGACAGGTTCATACTTTTTTTGTTTTTCCCCTGTTTCCTATATGGAATTTCTCCTTTTCCTTTTAATGTGTTATTTTTAGACCTTACCATCTGCTTGCAGTCACAGCACCTATTGCATGTGCTACCTATAGGATTCAGGTACACTAATCATCCCTCAGCACTCATTACCTTAACAGTACAGGTTTCATACAGACTATAACTCATTCAGAAACACACATACATAGATTGATGAACCGGTAGCTTCCGACTCAAAACAAAGATGGAGAGTTCACTGGACAGCAGAGCAGCGGTGTGCCCACGTCTCAAGCTAGCCATGTATAATAACCGTGCTCTTGTGCACAGCATCGCTATCAATGTACAAAAGCACCTATTAATGTAATGTAGATCCTCTGCTTTGCACTGTAAATCAGGTGACAGAAGCCTATGCCTTTGTTTGTGTTTGTAAAAGCACAGCCATCTCCAATCCTGACTCAGACCAGTATCTATACAAATATTTCAGTGTAAGCATAGTAATGCTTTATCTTAACACCGCGTTGTTTCCTTATATATTTGAACTTTTCCATGTGCATGTTACAACCATAATCTATTTAGCCAAAAGTCCAACCATACTACAGCGGCGTTAGGTTTCCTGAATTCACAGCCACAAAGGCTCTTACTGCTAACCGATATGCATATAGGGAGCAATAGGCGATAGTAGTGTAACATTGAGTTAGCCAATATTTGGATAGGGCAAAGACATGCTTTTGGGTTACATGTCGTTCCTTACTGACTGAATCGACGCTATTTGTTTGATGCAGGATCAGCCATTTCAGAATGACATCTTTTATGTAACATGGTTTCGATCTACTATTTTCCTGTCTATTGCGTATAGGGAGCAATAAGCGATAGTAGTGTAACGTTATCTTTTACTTGCTGTTTGTTTGGTGACCGTATATTTTTTTTGGGAAATTAGGACAGTCTTTTCTGTATAGTGTTGCTCCAAATTATAATCTGATTTCTGTCATCTATTGGGTTTCGCCTAAACTATTTCATATGTTGCTGCAGGCACCGTTTTATTTTACGATTCATGCCCTTTGTGTATTGACCTAATTTGCTGTTGCTCTTGCTATTATTATGAGATAATACAGGATCCTCAGTGGATTATTTCGCTCTGCTAGACAGAAGGTGCTACGTCGTGCTCAGTTGGATAGCTGTTCGGTGTTCCTCAAGATCCTCTGTACTTGATTCCTGCTTGCTCTCAGGTAAGAGCGGCTCATCCTTGTATGCACACCTATTCTGCAGAGCAGTGCTTCTTATGATGAGGTAAACTGATATTGGTCTCCTTTCTTTTGGGTTCTGCAAACACATTAGAAGGACGCGGTCGCTTCTTACGGCTGTCTGGATATCAACACTGGTTTTAGTTTTGGCTCCGCACGAAGGCTTTGCCAAAAAAAAATTAGATCTGCAAAGTTCCCACCAAAAGTTTTTTTCTCGGCAAACAAATTTTTTATTTGGCAAACCCAGCATTGGCATCATGTTTGATTTATGTTTGATTTTCTACACGAGTAACACAGCCGAGGGCCACTGGTGATGACGAATTGGACATTATAAGTCATAAAAATTATTTTGGCTGCTTTCAAAATTACTTTTTTGCTGTTATACATGGGTTCACTGCTTTCTTTTTCAACTGTATGCCAATTGATGTTTTTGTTTGCCGCATGCCAACACTTGGGGTACCGTATGATTTATGTTTGATTTCCTACACGAGTAACACGGCCAAGGGCCACTGGTGAGGACGAGCTGGACATTATAAGTCATAAAAATTATTTGGACTGCTTTCAAATTTTGTTTTTTGCTGTTATACATCTAAGGCTCTTACTGCTAACCGATATGCATATAGGGAGCGATAGGTGATAGTAGTGTAACATTGAGTTAGCCAGTATTTGGGTAGGGCAAAGACATGTCTTTGGGTTACATGTCATTCCTTACTGACTGAATCAACGCTATTTGTTTGATGCAGGATCAGTCATATCAGAATAACATCTTTTATGTAACATGGTTTCAAACTGCTATTTTCCTGTCTATTGCGTATAGCGAGCAATAAGCGATAGTAGTGTAACGTTATCTTTTACTTGCTGTTTGTTTGGTGACCGTATATATTTTTTTTTGGGAAATTAGGACACTCTTTTCTGTATAGTGTTGCTCCAAATTAGAATATGATTTCTGTCATGTATTGGGTTTTGCCTAAACTATTGCATAGGTTGCTGCACGCACCGTTTTATTTTATGATTCATGCCCTTTGTGTATTGACCTAATTTGCTGTTGCTTTTGCTATTGTTATGAGATAGTACAGGTTCCTCGGCGTGCATCGCTGTCCTGGGTTGGGTTATTTCGCTCTGCTAGACAAAAGGTACTATGTCGTGCTCAGTTGGATAGCTGTGCGGTGTTCCTCAAGATCCTCTGTACTTGATTCCTGCTTGCTCTCAGGTAAGAGCAGCTCATCCTTGTATGCACACCTATTCTGCAAACCAGTGCTTCTTATGATGAAGTAAACTAATATCAGTCTGCTTTCTTTTGGGTTCTGCAAACACATTAGAAGGACGCGGTCGCTTCTTACGGCTGTTTGGATATCGACACTGGTTTTAGTTTTGGCTCCGCACGAAGACTTTGCCAGAAAAAAAATATTTCAGATCTGCAAAATCCCCACCAAAAGTTTTTTTCGCGGAAAATATTTTTTTTTGGCAAACCCAGCATTGGCGTCATGTTTTCTTCCAACTCATCATATATAGCTATTTTGAGGATATTGCACAGCAATGTTGCTTACCTTATATATCTTGTATACATGAGGTGATACAGGATGGGACACATCTTTATGGTATAGAGATTGAATTGCCATCCAGTGTGCTTCACACCGGCCGTCGCACATTTTTTTTGGGGTCATCCACATTTAGATGAGGCTTTAGCGTATGAGGCCACAGCGTTCCAAGCTATTGTTGCTTTACAAAGGCTATATGGTTCGGCGGCTGTTGATTATAGTGTGCATGGATTACATATGTATAGAGCTATTGCCCAGCGGCTCCTCCCAATTGCAAATAGGGGTACACAGCTTGCTAGATTGGTAATAGCGGCCTCAGAACACCCAAATGTGCTTTTGCCTGTGCTCGAAGTTTGTGCACGGCTCCTGTTAGATGAGGTCGCGGCTATTCCGCACGGTAGTGCTCTTTAGTGTTTCTAGGCTGTGCCTTCTTAGACTGTCTCTCTGTAATAATTTCTTGCTTCTATTGTAACTACGGCTTCCTAAAGCAATAAATCAGATTCAATTGTGGAACTATGTTTTCGCGTTTCGTTACTTACATCTTGTTTGCTACTGAAGCCATGGTCGTGCTACCACATTCTGCCATATAGACGCAGATTCCTGAGTTATAGCTGTGTCCAAAATTTTTTACTGCACACCTAATTTGTTCATGCCATTTATGACCATTTACCTTTTTTCGAAGTACCTGCTTCATACCTTTTTTCGTGTTAAAACTCCCATCTCTCTATATTACTCATATTATGTGTCAATCGTGTATTTTTTCCCCTCCAAAAAAAATTCTGTTCATGTCTCTTCATAGTAAGATGCACAGGCAGCGAAACCACATGGAGTAGCCGCTTCCTATGGCTGCACAACAGACATGTATGTAAAATGCACTTTGTTTTAGTCGCCATTTTGTATAAAAGATCTCTGGAACTAATTCTCGAGACCTGCATATTTGTCTATATTGGTTAGCCTAACAGTATATGCCTATATATGGCAGTGGAGGCTCCTGTGCATGCAGAGAGCTCTGGTACACCGACATCGGCAGGCCGCCGCGCAACAGCACGTATGTGCCATCAGCTATTCAGGCCCCCATGTGTACATACATCGTTAGATTCATGTTGTTCCTGTGTTAGCCTTACAATTCTGCTACTCAGGAAACAATACTTCGTGTGCTCTAGAAACATCCAGTCCTGCTGCATGTAGGAAGAAAAGAAGAAAACTGTTAAACCAACATCGCCTTGTCTGGAGAGGTATTTAGACCTACTAGACACACACACACTCTCTATCTATCTCCTTCCATATCCATATTCCTAAGACCTAGAGTATGTGTACAGGTGCTGCATCTAGGCAAAGTGCTGATCTAGAGTGTGGCCAGTTTGATGAGGCCTTCGTAGAAGCCCTCAAAGGTACTGATTCCATATCTTCACAGCACATGTGCCTTTACTTTTAGCATGGTGCACAGCCCAGGCCAAAAAAAATAGCTTCTTACTATGCATCTGCCTGTTCCATATCTATGAACCAGTTTCGTATCCTGGAAGATCATATTATGGTCCACCTGATCAGCAATGCTGCAACTGCCGAGCCATTTTTTGGCACGCCGAAAGAGTTGGCAAGGACTCCCAGGGTTCTTCGGGCTCAGTTATCTACAACAAGTGCTGCAAAGGAGGCAGAGTCTCCATTCCGCGGTTCCTGCCAAGACCTGAGCCTCTAGCAACTATTGCGAGATCTAACGGTGGTCCTATCTCCAATAGATTTATGAAAAATATCATGCAGTACAATTGCCTTTTTGTCTTCACTTCGATGGGAGCAAACATAGACCGGTCCATGAATGATGGTGGAGGTCCTCCGGTTTTCAAGATTTGTGGACAAATTCACCACCGCATAGGTTCTTTGCTGCCACCGGATGATGAGCCTGCCAAGTTCATATAACTATATGTGTATGATACATCGCATGAGGTGCAAAATAGAATTGCTTCTTTAGGGCATCATGACGCTAGAGGATCGGATCTAGATCCTGCTATTGTTCAGTCCCTAGCTGCCATGCTTGATCAACACAACTCATTCCTGTAGCAGTTTCGGATGGCGAGGGACCGGTTGGCAGATGATGAAACAGAAGACTTTGTTATTCGCATAGTTGGCCCAAGAGATGATGATCCGCCTCAGTACAGCTTACCAACTATGGATCAGCTGGCTATGTTAGTAGTTGGTGATTTCAGTTACGAAGCCTTTGAGCGGGGTATTATTGTGCAGAAACAAGCAGGAGACCTTCAACAGATTTCTGCTCTGCATCCCGCTTTCATGGCGCTTCAATATCCTTTGTTATTTCCGTATGCTGAGCGTGGTTGGCAAGCTGGCGTTCTGTACGCTGGAGTCATACAGACAAGAGCCAATGCTCATATAAAAGTCACCATGCAGGACTACTACTACTACATGTTCCATTATAGGAAAGATGAACCAAATCTGTATCTGTGTTATGGTGCGCTCTCAGGTCAAGCTAAGGTGGATGCTCGGGCCTGTGTAGATGAAAACAGGTTACGGTACATAGTAGAAAACCAAGCTGATATTAGAATGGAAAGTATCCAAGGAATTTGTGATGCAATAAACAGAGGATCCACAGAGGGCAGCGAGATGGGGAAGATGACCGTGCTACCGGCGTCGCACACGGGTGGCAGACGTTACATGATACAAAATTATCATGATGGGATCGCTATTTGTCGAGAATATGGTCCTCTAGATTTCTTCGTTACTTTCACATGCAATCCTAAATGGCCTGAGATCACTGAGGCCATCTTTGATCCTGGACAAAAGCCAGTTGACAGGAATGATCTGATAGTCAGGGTCTTTAATATGAAACTAGAGGAACTTCTACATGATATCAAAGCTGGTACATCTTTTGGACCCTGCAATGCAGGTACACTCATGTTTATGCATAGTGTCTTGCTATCCTTGCTTCAATACAGTCCTTTCCATTCGTACCTACCTGCATGCTGTTTCCTAACAAGCCACTATTTCTTACAAATTCTTAAGATCCCTCTTTTTCCAATGCAGTGCTCCACACTGTCGAATTCCAGAAAAGGGGACTGCCACATGCCCATATTATTCTATGGACTTCCACGGATACATCAAGTCCAACCGCAGCAATGATTGACAAATATGTCGCTGCAGAGATACCTGATCCAAAAATAGAGCCACTTGGCTATGCTCTCGTCTCCGAACATATGATACATGGCCCTTGTGGTAAAGACAACCCAAAATGTCCCTGCATGAAAAAGAAAAAATGCTCAAAACATTTTCCCAAACCATATGAGGCAGGCACTATAGTTAACAAGAATGGTTTTGTAGTGTACAAGAGACGAACAAATGCACTTTTTGTTAAGAAAGGAGGCTTCCAGATGGATAATAGATGGGTTGTCCCATATAATATGTTGCTGCTCAAAAAGTACTAAGCACATATAAATGTTGAATGGTGCAATAAAACGACCTTCATCAAGTACCTCTTCAAATATGTAACCAAGGGAGCTGATTGTAGCAAAGCTTACCTACAGAGGGTTAAGAAAGGCCAGCCAGCACCATATGATGACGAAACAAACACTATAAATGAGGTAAAAGAATACCTCGATTGCAGATATATCTGTGAACAAGATGCATGCTGGAGAATATTTGGATATGACATCCACAGACACCACCCAGCGGTAGAGAGAATGCCTGTCCACCTTCCAAACGAAAATTTTGTAAGCTTTAGTGCAAGGACCAAAATGGAGAAATTAGTATCAGCAGAGTTTTTGAGAAGAACAATGTTGACTCAGTGATTTAAGTGTAATGCGATTTTCCCTGAAGCTAGAGCGCTCACTTATCCACAATTTCCCTCTAGATGGTCATGGGATCAAAGAGACAGGAAATGGCATAAACGGAAGCAAAAGTTTGGTAAAATAGGCAGGCTCCATTATGTACACCCATCGGCTGGTGAGCGGTACTACCTTCGCATGTTGCTTCTAATAGTGAAAGGTGCCACCAGCTATGAAAACCTTAGATTTCATAATGGAACATATCATCACACTTTCAAAGAGGCATGCCGATCATAAGGTCTCCTTGGTGATGACCAAGAGTGGTATAATGCCTTTGATGAGTCGGCTGCTTGGGCTACTTCGGCACAGCTACGAAGCTTGTTCGTTACCATGATCCTGTTCTGTGAGGTAGGTGACGAAAAGAGTTTCTTTGAAAAAGTATGGCGCCATCTATCTGATGATATTATCTATCAATATAGAGATATGGTCGGTGATCCAAACTATGCAGTACCTAATTCACGAACTAGAGATTTTCTTCTCGATGAGCTAGCCATTTTATTCTCGCAGAGTGGTAAGAACATAGTTGACTACAATCTGCCTCCAAAGACCCATTCTGAATATCCTATTCTACACAATCGTCTGGTTGAAGAGGAACTATCACATCCCTCGGATCCATCCATTGATCTGAATAATCCAACTATTTCTCTCAACGAAGATCAGGCAAATGCTTTCAACACAATAAGTCCAGAGAGTTGAACAAAACCAGCCTGGATTCTTCTTTGTTTCAGGATACGGAGGCACCGGTAAAACATACTTATGGAATAGAATGGTTGGATATCTTAGAGCAAAGAATAAGATTGTACTGACCATGGCTTCCTCGGGTGTAGCAGCGCTGCTGCTCCAAGGAGGTCGTACAGCTCACTCAAGGTTCAAAATTCCTTGTGAGGTAGAAGAGGATACAGTCTGCGATGTTAGTAGGGGCACAATGCTTTCTGAGCTTATTGAGCTCACAAGCTTGATCATCTGGGATGAGGCCCTCATGGCTAATAGGAGATGCTTCGAGGCCTTAGACTGCGCATTCAGAGATATTGAAAAAGCCAAAAGCCCAGAAGCTGCTCATACACCATTTGGTGGAAAAGTTGTTGTTCTAGGAGGGGACCTCAGACAAATCTTACCTGTGGTTGAAGGTGGTACCAAAGAAGATATCATTAGCTCCACTATCATCAGGTCTCGGTTATGGCCCCATGTTGAAATCCTGAGTCTAAAACAGAATATGCGATTAGTATGTTCACTAGAGGATCCTTCTAAACAGCAGGAGGTGGCAGCATTTAGTAGGTGGATATTGGACATCGGTGAAGGCAAAGTACCATGCACGGCTAGAGACGGAGACGACGAACCAAGCTGGATTACAGTACCACAGCAACTGCTTATCACTCCTGATGAGGACAGACTTGCAGCTATTGTCCACTCAGTTTATCCTAACTTTCGTGCCAGATACAAAGACCCTGTATACTTATCACAGAGCGCTATACTAGCTCCAACAAATGAACTGACAGATACTGTTAATGATTACATGATCCCCTTAGTCCCTGGTACAGAGAAGGAATGCCTGAGCTCAGATACTATTGACAAATCCACCGCTCAACAAGAAGCATATGGCCTCTTATACCCAATTGAGTTCTTAAACTCAATCAGTGGTAATAATTTCCCACAGCATAAAATCATTCTGAAACCAGGAATCCCAATAATGTTACTGCGCAATCTCAACCAAAGGGCTGGTCTTTGCAATGGTACAAGACTGATCATCACTTCGGTTGGAGAATGGACAATTGAAGCTAAGATTATGAATGGGCGACAGGCGAATCAAGCCTTCGCTATACCTCGCATAACCTTAACTTTAAAAAGTAACAAATGGCCATTTGTTCTACAGTGTCGACAATATCCTATCAGAGTATGCTACGCTATGACAATCAACAAGAGCAAGGGACAAACTCTCTCAGTTGTTGGCGTCTACCTCAAAAAGCCTATTTTTCACATGGACAGCTATACGTTGCTGTATCACGTGCAACTACAAAGCAAGGTCTAAAGATATACATCGAAGATGACGATGGAAAAGCTACCAATGAGACCAAGAATGTAGTCTACAGAGAAGTGCTTCAGTATTTAGACTAGATAAAAGATGAAACCAGCCATACCTATGCATTTCACCTACCAAACTCCACCTGCTTTCAGTAGTATTTTGCTTCCTGTTTGCATCTGTTAAGCCCATGATAATTTAAGTAGTGTACCTATATATGTACAGTTCGTTGCAGCAGGCCTGCGTGCCTACCATAGCCAAAATTTGGCCTGTATAGATGCTTTTGAAAATCCTTCCACAGAGGGATTTAGGTAGTGCTGTCAATATGTACATGAATGCAGCGTCTGCACTCTTTTTGGTAAACTAAGAAATGAAACAGTGGTTGTTTATCCAAAACAGAAAAAGCGAGCAACCTTCTATTTCTGCTATTTTAAAACTGCCTCCATACCAAAAATAACACTTCCTTTCATACATACCAGGTACACCATGCAGCAGCCAAGGTTTCTCAGCAATCTGCAGAAAGGTCGCCACGCACAAGGCATAGCTACTCGAGTCATCAGAAAATGGACACACTATGAAAACATGGGCCAGGGACCACCTCTTATGTTGGCATGGTTCTAGCAGACGCACGGGTATCTTCCTGACTTGGTCAAAACCATCTTAAAATTAGTTAGCCTTCAAAAAATAGAATCAATACTATACCTTCTGCTATTACATGTTCATATTGATAGCATCTAATCAGTTCATTGCGTATTTACAATTGCAGGGACACACCATGTATGCAGAGATTTCAAATGACCTGATCAAATCCAAGGCATCTCTTTTTGAAGTTGGAACGGTTTATATTATCAAGAAATTTCTCGTTGATAGTGCTAGGAAAAGCTACAGGCCAGTTGACAAAGATCTGATGTTCCCAGCCATAAAACCAACACGAATGGTCTACAACTTAACAGGTTCGTTGTAGATAAACTCTATCTTCACTTTCAGTTTGTTATTTTCTTGTTAACTGGTGCTGTTGACCTCTAAATTTTTAAGATGTCATTGGTTACCTCGTCAAGTATGAAGCAACGCATACATTTGTGCCAAAGAACCAAGAAAAGGCAAAAACGCTCAGAGAGATCTATATCAAGGATCTAAGGTATGTAACTGCCTATGTCACAGACTACAACACCTTGCACTTACCACCCGCCTATACAGGTGTAAAAATATATATTCATCCAGAATTAATTCCCATCCAGAGACAATATGATGAAGATTACCCTGTGGAGCGAGCATGCTAGAGCTTTCAACATTAGCAATATATACGACAGTGAGGCTGGTAATGTTATTGTTTGCCTTGTTGTTGGATGCGTACCACGAGAGGATATTAAAAATAATGGTAATTTATCTTCTACATTCCAGACCAAAGGTCATAGGCGTATGCCCATCTACCATAGTAAACCAGCGTACTTTTTCATTCTGAAAATTGTTCGCCTCTGGCCTCTCGCAGATAAACCATGCCTAACAGGAAGTTCAGCCTGCTGCTACTACTTGAACCCTAACATTCCAGAGGCACGTCCTTTCTACTCTAGGTACAGTCTTCGTCGACCTGACCCCATATGTAACTAAACCATCATATGCTGCAACACTAAAATTGCCGTTCTCAGATTCAAAAACACCCCGGTGTACATCGATCGACCAACAGATGAAGAGACTCACTCTCCAGCTGAAGACATTGAGCTTCCAGAGAAAACTATAGATGCACTCAACCAGGTTGACCCTTTTGATGAAGAGGTACGTGGCACACATATTACACTCATTTTTTCACATCTTTGTACATACCTTGTCAAAACATTCGACACCTACCTACTAACCCTATAATATGAACAGGGGCCCTTCAAGTGCACGGTAACAGTTGTCTCCATTATAAACTCAACCAGCTGGTGGTACATGTCTTGCAAACTGTGTAAAAAAAAGGTTGAACAGCAGCCAGATGGAAGCTATAAATGTCAAAAATGTCAAGGCACAGCTACGGTTCCTAGGTACCTATTGCTGAAACCACTTCCGCTTAAAATACACACATACACAGACTGTTTCTCTAGGTACTTATAAATCCACTGTTTCCTAAATTCCACAGGTACCTAATATCGTTCACAGGAAGAGATGAAACAAGTGAAGCTAGATTCTTTGCTTATGATGACGAAGCCTACAAAATGATTCAGAGAGACTGTGAATCAGTGATGAACCCATTAGCTCCACGAGATGCCTTGCCTCAGCCATTACAGAAGATCATTAACAGCACGTTCCTGCTCTCTGTTGATCTTACTAATGATTCATGCAAGAGCATAAAATACAAACAATACCAGGTCAAGGCTGTTTTAGCAAGACCAAAACAGTCTGAAACAGACATTATTTCCATGTCTCAGTATGAAGAAGAGAAGCCAACAAATGCCTCTACAGATACTGATAGTCCACAACATCCAAGTGAGGTGCTTCTGATTGAGTTAGGAACACAACAGGTAACCAGATTTTATACAAGCTTATTCCATTATGCTAATGTTTATAAACATACTGCCATATTTGTCTTGCTATGACATGAAACAGACTCCAGTACCAGCTCTTGACACTGATAAAGAGACCTGTAAAGATGATGATACCAGGTGCTCTAAAAAAATACTCTAACCAGCAATTTTGTATGATCCATACACGACAAGCTTTAGTCAATATATTTATCTAATAATACTTCATTCTTTGTCTCTGTAAGATCGTCGGCAGTTCATCCCGGTGCTCAAAGGAACCTATTCGGCCACCCAGATTCGACGAACAAGGTCGGTTACATTGATGTATATAATTCAAGATTCCATGCATATCATAGTGACACAAGGCTCTAACATATTAATGATACAAGTTACAGCATGATGATGTTCAGAACGATGAAGAAGACCAAACCATCAACGACCTTAAGAGACTTGCTGCACAGGATGCTTCATCGTCGAAGACAAAATCCAAGAAGTATGCTGCAAACACTAATATGCTTCACATATTTATAGACCCATACCACTTCTCTTCGTTTACTGACTCTTAAAAAAAATACAGAGCAAGGTCTCTCTCTGAAGGCCGCGCTGGAAAGAATGGTTCCCACAGCTAAAATACCTTTCTGATACCACTAAGGTAACCTTATACATCGACTACTCGCAAAGTACATTTATGAGAACAGAGTTTGGCTCGATCCATCAATTCACTTCAGATAACACACAAAACAGCCTCAACAAGAAATTTTGCATTGTTCATTTACACTAACTAAAGAAAATTTTCCCAAACAGGTAACGCCGATGATGTAACCGAATGCTCCAGGCTTTTGCTCCAAACTCTTGTTGTCTGTAGTATGAAACTGTGTTCCAGTGCTTTGTAGTCCCATGAACTTAGAAAGGTGCCGGTTCCCTGTACAGTTCCCAGGCTTCTTTCATATGGTAGAATATTCGCCAAGACTAAAACAGTTCAACTCCAAACTTAAAATAGGAGCCTCTCCCTGTATAATTCTCAGCCTCCTTTTATATTCTATGGTTGTAGTCACCATCAGCTCAGTTTATCTCCGCTTAAACTATGGCATGTTATAAACATGTGAACTTCCTGTAATGGCAAACACATCAGGCTGAACCACAGATTATGTAGTGTTAACTATTTCCTGTACTCTCATCTGTCCTGCAGCTTGTACTTAATCAACCGATCAGTTATTTACACATACAACTCTTTACTAATTTGCGGTTATGAAACTTGTGTCGCTGCAAACAATGCTCCACCACAGCTACTCCAAAGCGCAACTCCGAAGCTGATGAATCCAGTTAGGAAACAAACAGCGCCAGCGGCTGCCTCTGAAGACAAGCGCACACGCCAAAACAGCTGCTCCACACAGAGTCTGTTAGCCCAGAAGTTTATCAACTACCGCCTCTAATTATTGTAATTTATATATAGCCCGTATGTACTGTGATAGTAGCAAATACTCTTGTAATATAGATACCTTTTAACCTTCAATGTACTAATGGACCGTCATCCTATATCCATATTTAGACTTCTATCTCGCACAAATACACTGACTTTAGATCCCTGCAATTGGTTGCCGCGACACCTCACGGGCGCGCGAATGCGCGCGCCCCGGATACTAGTGCTAAATCAAACGCACGCTTTGCGTCTGAGTTGTGAGCTCAACTTGGTCAGCGTCAATATATATAAGGAAGAGTATTTTTTTTTCAGAAAGGATTCATAATTAAAGTTAGTCAACTAGTTAGCTCCTTTTGAGCACAAAGACGATATGCACTCTTTTTACTGTGTATATTAATATGCAACAAGATCCTGTTCAACTTGGCGTATCATATCAGTTACGTTGATTTGATTGAGATGCGGTAGCTTGTGATCTGGAAAAAGGTCTACATCAAGGTCACATTATTGGTAAGAGGGCCATGCCTGATGCATGTGTGTATAGGGTCTGGCATCAACTTGGCGTGCGTTATAATATGACAGTATATAATTAATTAATTTGAGATCCAGATTGGATGCACTAATAATATAATTATAAATTAAGCAGACATCGTAGTAATCTTTTCCCCATTTTTCAGTTTAGTGATACATGTCCCTCGATGAATGACGATTCTACGGCCGGAATATATAATTTGTCATTTTTTGTCCTATGATAGCAGTTCAATACAATTGATTTTTTGGATGTACTGTATTATTGTGTTGTACTAGTAGTTCATTGCAGCTCGGTATATATTCAACTAGTACTGGCACACTACTACTAAATATTAGGCAGCCTAATTGCTACCATGATGATGTTCGACCTTAATGTCACATCGTATTAAGGTTGGAGCTTACTACCACATTGTATTACCGGAAGAATTACAATCACTTGTTCCAGAAATGTTTGTTAATTTAAGAAACCCAATCCCTGCCAAACTGATATATCAGAGCCCAGTAAGGGGCCGTTCGGTTAGGCCGTTCCCGGCGTGGAATGGCCATGAATCAATCCGACGCTATGTAATTTATTGAAAGAACAGTGCGTCCTGGATTCAATCTCACGTAACCAAACGAAGCCTAAGGGGTCGTTTGGTAGGTTGAAATGGTTCCGATTTTTCGGTGGAACGCAAGAATAATCGTTGCCAAACAAATGTAGGCTGAGCATTTCGTTCCAGTTCCAGTTCTCCTGTTTACACTAAGCACGTGAAATGACTTGGCCCTAGCTGCGACTCATTCAGCTATGCACTAGTGATCATATTTTTTTGGGGGTTATATTACCCTCTTTAAGTGGAACCAGTGAAATAAGTTGTATTTAAATTGTTCTTTACGTACAAAAAACTTACTTTCGAATGCTTTTGAAGCATTTATATGATTTTTTAAACATTTTCTGTATATATATATATTATTCCTATGTATAAAGACGACTTATTTTCCTGTCGCTTTACTTGAGAAGCAAATCAGGTCGATTTTTAAATACTACTATGTACTATACTGTAGTCCGTATGGATTGGATTTGCCTGCTCCCAAGTGGGGTGGGGAAAACAAGAGAAGCAAGCCAGTAATTAATAAAATTAAATTAAATGGAACAAAACAAAAACAAAGCGGATGTATAAAATAGCCCCCGAGCCGGAGGATCTGACCGGGAGTTTTGTTGTTTTGTGGCCCGGCCGGCCGTCGCATTCGCATCGCAGCAAATTCTTGCAAAGCAACCACCACTTCCCTCCCCGTCCCGCGAGAAGGCAAGACAAGATCGAGGCAGGCAGGCGGCCTCCATCTCCACTGTGTCCTCTGTTCCGGAGCAGGAGCAGCCGAGCAACCGAATCGAGCGCGGCGCGGCGGGGAGTTCCGCGCTCCGCGGTCGCAGGTGAATGCTGATCCGTCCCTCCCCTTCCCCTGCGCGATTTCCTCCTCCTGCGATGGAACGAGCTCGATCTGGGGTGGGTGGGGGACTGGGATTCTCTTCTTACGGGGCCAGGTGTGGAGCATGCGGCGCTGGTTTTCCTTTCCCACGGGTGCGTGCGTGCTCGGTTGCTGCGCGGCTCGAATCTAACCAGGGAGGGAGTGGCGCTCTCTAGCCGGGAACTGGGACGGGGTTCCATTCCACTCCCACGCCGGCCACCACGCGTCCACGCGTAGCCGCCGGCCGGCGTTGGAGAAGAAGCTCGTTGCTGCTGCTTCTCTTCATTCATTCGTTCGTTCAGGTGATTTGGGGGAACGAACAACAGTCGAGGACGGGTACGGCTGTTATGGGTCGGGCCATGGATTCGGCCGGCCCAGTGACATTAGTTCCCAAACTTGAACACAAAGGGCCCAGCCCATAAACAGTGCAGTGCAGTGCGCGCTCCCTTCCCCTCGTTCAAGTGTCGCTGTGGGGTTTTCTCGAAAAAAAAAAATTGTTGCTGTGGGGTTGCCTGCTGACCGCTGGTTTTGTGTTTGATAAAATGCCTAGGAAGGCAGTACTTGTTCTGCTTCTACCTGACGGAGCATTGCTTGGTCGTCTAGTCGTGCCCTATGCTTCTTGTGAGGTTGTGAGATGCACGGTCAAAACTTGTGGTTCTACTCGACCGTCGGCCCCTTAATATTGGTGTTCAGTCTGTAGGGTGTGGACACCTTAGCTAGATAGCATTACACGATGTGACTTGTAAAAAACTGTATCCCTCTTAGGACTTTTTAGTTCCTCTCCCTAAAGTTTACTCCCTATCCCATCGAATGTTCGGACAGAGTATTAAATATAGATTAAAAAAATAACTAATTGCACAGTTTGCGAGACGAATCTTTTAAGTCTAATTAGCTCATGATTTGACGACTCGGGCTACAGTAACACATGTGCTAATGACGGATTAATTAGGCTTAATAAATTCGTCTCGCGGATTACTGACGGATTCTGAAATTTGTTTTTTTATTAGTATCCGAACACCCCATGCGACACCCGATGTGACACCCCAAAACTTTACACCCTGGATTTAAACAAGGCCTTATTCATGCTGCTTACTAGGCGAGCTGCTCTGGTTACATTTCACATTGGCCCCACGCACCACACTTTGTTCCCTGTTACATTTGCTCGGTTACGATTAACCAACCACTTCGCCTTCTGCAGGCCAAAGCTTGGATTCCTAGATCTGATGGCATCGGTCTCTTCGAGATTGTAATTCAGCGAAGTGTTGAGCTGAAACCATGAAATCAGACATGAGTTCTCTGAAGAAATCCGACAAGAAAGCCGTGCTGGATTTCGCAGCATGGAGTTTCAATGTCACTACATCTGTTGGAATCATCATGGTCAACAAAAGTTTAATGGCTACGCATGGATTCAGTTTTGGTATGTCTGTGCTGTGCTTACCTGAGGATTTATTTATCACATGTCTTACTCTCACATTTTGATTGTATTTGTGGCTATAGAATGATATAATCTTGTGCTGTATCTTATGCATTTGTCAGATTTTGAACTGAATATTGTAGTCATTCATATTTCTGTTTGAATAGCAAATCGGTGTATTGTGATGGGTTTTTTGGACAAAAAATGATGGTGGTGGTTCTGGTTCATATTTGAATATTTCATTGTAGAATTCATGTGCATTTTCCTTAGAGACCTCACATTTGGAGAACTAACAGACATCTTGTAAACTGCGACTCTTTGAGTAGTTTTAACAGTGTTAATGCAAATTCCCTACCAAGTTTTTATTTAAAGGAAAGGGGTTCCTGCCTAAATTTGAATTATGTTGCATTCTGTGAATAAAATTTTGATTGTAGATACCAATGTATACTGCAATATTTGCCACATTTCCTTTGTTAATGATAGGAGAATAATTGCAACACAAACTTATAAAGTGCTACAAAATTGCGGTATAATTTGCTAATGCGTCTGTTGAACCTTAACGATGTTAATACAATTAATAGAGACATGTTAGCATTATGTAATTTAATGTATCTATTGAACCTTAACGATGTTAATACAAGCAATAGAGACATGTTAGCATTATGTAATTTCTTACTGTATGTTTGGTAGTTGCAGGCTCACCATATTTCTGCACCTTGTCAACAAACTGTACATGGATGGAGCTTGGATATATCTCCTGCCCTGTCATTAATTACTCTCTCTTTCTTTTTGCAGCCACGACATTAACCGGGCTTCATTTTGTGACTACCACCTTGATGACCATCGTATTTCGGTGGTTAGGCCTGAGCCAGCCCTCCCAGTTACCAGTAGCAGATCTAATTAAGTTTGTGATATTTTCAAACTTGTCAATTGTTGGGATGAATGTGAGCTTGATGTGGAACTCTGTGGGCTTTTATCAGGTTAGTGAATTTTTCTGTACCTGCTACTACTACATGAGTTCAAATTGTTACCAACTAAATTCATTCTATTCCCTTCCTCAGATAGCAAAGCTGTGCATGATACCTGCATCATGTCTTCTGGAGGTTGTCTTTGATCATGTACACTATTCTCGGGACACAAAGCTGAGCATAATGGTTGTGCTTATAGGAGTGGCAGTTTGCACTGTTACTGATGTCAGTGTGAATGCAAGAGGTCTAATTGCAGCTGTTATAGCTGTTTGGAGCACGGCTTTGCAACAATATGTAAGTTAGTCTGGTGGTTTGTTATATGTCAGCTCATGATTAAGATTGCTTCTAAAACTGATTGTCTGCTTCTGTTTACAATTAGCTGCAAGTTCTTTTGCATGCTTCTAACTGTCTCGAAGGATTAAGTATTTGAATATGGTAGTACAATGACTGTCATTCTACAAAGTTATGAACAATTAGCAATTACTTAATCATTCATTGATGTTTCTGCTTCTTTAGGATATCGCTCCTTTGTTTAGACATTAGGATATAGCTACTCACCATGACACCAGTATTTCCCATTTCTATGAACTAAAAAAACTAGACCAACCTAGGAGAAACTAGGTGGTGTTTTATTAAGAAGAAAATAGGCACCAAAATTCTCCTTGATGAGAACTTGAACCTGGGTGGTCTGGGCATTCATCCCCATTTCTATGAACTGTTAGGCTTGATTCAGTTTCCTCATTATATTACTGCTTAATCTTTAAAGAACACTCCATTTGCCACACGTGCAACGCATAATTCATTTATTTTCCCTACTTTGGCATTTTTTTTATTATTTGAGTGCCCTTACTCCTCCACATTTTTATTAATTGTTCTATTTGCACTGCATACATACTTTGGTCGTATCATGTATCCAGTTAAAAGGGGCACGGTTTTGATTCCTTTGTAATTTCTGCTCTTTTGCAGTATGTTCATTTCCTCCAACGCAAGTACTCTCTGAACTCGTTCAACCTGCTGGGCCACACAGCTCCAGCCCAAGCAGGGTCCCTCCTGCTGGCAGGGCCATTTGTTGATTACTTGTTGACGGGGCAAAGGGTGGATCACTTCGTTTTTTCATCTCTTGCTCTGGTATGGACAAAATCTCAACAATGTTTCTATCACTACGTTCATATGGCGATTGATCCTTCTTACGGGTAATCTGTTTACTCAGAAATGAGATGGTGATTAGGCTGCTTTTAGCTGGATGAGAATTTCAATACAGTGATGGTTTATAAGCTATCCAGGAAACGTTAACACTAGTTCAATAATTTTATTTATTATTCTTGTCAAAAAAATAATTTCATTTATTATTGTGACTGAAATTCATCCATTTTACTGCTTGACCTGCTAGCAATAGCTTCTAGCTGACCATATACATATAGCTTCACTTAGTGTTCACCTTTGCTGGATCAGAATTTTGGATTTGAATGGCATCCTTACCATATCGTTTCCCTGATTCTGCAGTTTTTTCTCACGCTATCATGCTTCATCGCCATTGGCGTCAATCTGAGCCAGTTCATCTGCATCGGGCGGTTTTCTGCGGTATCCTTCCAAGTCCTGGGCCACATGAAGACCGTGCTTGTTCTGTCCCTTGGGTTTCTCTTCTTTGGCAAGGAAGGCCTGAATCTTCAGGTCGTTATTGGGATGGTCCTAGCTGTTCTTGGAATGATATGGTATGGAAACGCATCTGCTAAACCAGGTGGCAAAGAGCGGCGCAGCGTGCTGCCGGTGAGGTCTGCGAGCCTCAAGGGAAGTTCAGAAGAAAAGGACGGTGCGGAGAAGTAAACTTGCTAATGTCACTGTGACTGAGATGAGAAACTAAATTTCTGGTGGCGGACAAAAGTGGAAAGGCTCTATGTTTTGCCTCAGCAGCTCAACTCAAGTCTTCCCGTTTAGAAACATAGCATTGTTATAGTTACAGGTATACTGTGTGACAACATTTTTTGGCTCTCTGAATCTGAATCATTTGTAGCAAGGGGGAGTGACAGATGTTACAAGATTTGAAGACTGTTTTATCAAATGTATACTGTAATTGTTTAATCACATAGTGCAATTGTTTGCAAAACATTAAACATTGCCCTTAGTATACATGTGTTTACCGCGATCTCGTTTACAAATTGATGCGGTTAACTAGCTGATTACTAAGGCTGGTTGGAATAGTGAGCTCTGCCAAGCTGGATTATTCAGTTACAGCACTGTTTGCCGAAGCAGCTCTTTAGCTAGTTTAAACGTTGCATGGTGTTAAGTCATTTTTATTTGATCAGCCATTCATTATGTTTATTAGTTGGCCATTTAGCCCAAATAATAGCTAAACAATAGGTGAGTAGGTGACCATCTGTTTGGCACTGTATGTCAGTCGTTTAAATAGAAGACCATCAGCATCAATTTCAATTGCACATAGTACACCCACAGCATGTCATCATTACAGCAAGATAAAAGTTGTCGAGTTTGTTGGCCTGCATGGCGGCAGCACAGGGCATATGCCAAACATCTCATGATGTAACATAAGCATATGCCGTGGCCTCGCAATAGCACTATAGCAGGATGAACAGCGTATGGAACTATGGAACACAGAGCTGTAGCTTTGCTGCGCACATATATGTATACATCATAAGCATACAGATATACGGAGTAGGTCACACCAGAATCAAGAAATAGTCACCTTCGAGGCACAATACATGAGCAACCTTTGTGACATATTTTAAGCACAGCAAGAAAATAGTGCAAAACTAAACTACAAGGCAAGAAGAAGAAGAAGATCACAAGACATTCTTAAAGTAAAAAAAAGAAAAAAAAATGTCTTGAATGTTAAGAGTATTGCAAAACTAAACTAGGCAAAACCGCAAAACAAAAAAAAGGGTCTGTCTAGCCAACAACTGGTTGATTTAGCCCCTTCCATCAACTGAATTTTTTCTATACACTTACACTATCTTATAGCTATATTTACACCGACTTATTACTATATTTACAATGATTTCTTCAATGTAATTTATTGGACAGAATGATGTAATTTAAGAATAGCATAAATATATGTCAAATTTTTCAAAAAAAATACAAATTATTTCTATAGATTCCAGACACCAAAGAAATATATATCAAATTATTCACAAAATTCAAAAAAAACATACAAAATCCACACAAAACTACTGCAACCGGAAGGGGCGGCGCCGAGGACGCCCGTGCACACGCGTCCCCAGGCAAAACGAAATGACGCCGGCCTCTCATGGAGAAAGAAACGGAGGGAGCAGCGCCTCTGCCCTACTCTTGGTCAACCGGCGTGGCCCCCACGAGCAGTCCCTCTCTCCTTTACTCACGTACACGCTGCACTACTCGGTAATGGACACGCAGCCTGGGCGAGCAGGCCGCCTACACGGCTCACTCGAGAGAAGCCGTGGGGAACAGCGGGGGCGACCACGAGGCCGAAGTTATCCGGTTGGTTCTCTATCGACGGCTGAGGGAGGACGGGCGAGGAGGATCGAACGCCATCCGATGGTAAAAAAAAAAACGGTTGAGAGATGTCCCTAAATCAACCGGTTGACCATTAGCATTTCTCAAAAAAAAAAAAATCACAAGAAATTCTTAAAGTAAAAAATTGAAAAAATGTCTTGAATGTTAAGAGCAATCAACAACTCAATCATATCCCTCAGAATGCCACATCTCAACAGTGTATACAGAGATATTGGTTCCTTCAACCTCCCATCACAGTGATGAGGAAGGAGCACCAACTCAATAAGCACTCAGATTACTAAAATGTTCATCACAGGGATATGCAGAAATTACATGCACAACATACAAGAGCCAAGAAAAAGGGAAACTGACATTCTGCCAACATGTCACAATGCAACTGCTGATTTGATCTAGTCTTATATCAGCTATAAGCAAAACTTTCCGAAGCAAGCAAAATACATCTCAATTTATCAGCTTGCTGAGAAACCTTTTCCCCGTCTGTAAATTGAGAATTTCCAAATGATACGCCAAGAGTATATGCTCTGTAGAAAAAAGATGCCATTTATCTTGACCCAATTGGATTATGATCAGATTAAGCTTCCTCCACAACATCAAAGTATTTCTCAAGCAGTCATGCTAAGTGCACAAGAACCATCCAAATAGCATCAAACTATTACATTGCAGCAAAATGGAGGGCAAAAACTCAAGAACTTCTAAGAAAATACTGAAAAATGATGTTTGAAAAACAAGATACAAGGAAATAGAACCAAGAGGAATGAGCTAGTATGGACAAATACTGCATTTCAGAGGCCATCTACAATTGCAAAAATAAGAATAAAAAACACATGAGTTTCATGTTTGCCATATCAATTTCAAATAAGCAACAATTATTATGTATGATGACAGTTAACCAATGTCATAAACATACCTAGTCAGACCAGTCCAAATAATCAGTCTGTTCGCTTGTTGGTTTCAGTCAGGGCTTATCAGCCAACCAACAGTGTTTTCCTCTCACAACAAATCAGCATTAGCCAGACTTATCAGCCCAGAAACCAACCAGCGAACAGGCTCAATACATGCTACTACCATTGACCTGCTGTTCTATCTTGATGCAACTTGTCTCTCTCCTCTTTCATCTTGTTCGCAATCTCAATTAGCTTCGGGTTAAATAAACGATCCATAACATATTTCTTTTCCTCTGCTTGTATTTCTTTTATGGCACTTGGGTATGGATTTGGAGGTGGCTTCTTTCCTTCACTGCGGGCGATTTCTTTCAGTTCCTTGTATGCTTTCTTCTTTGCTTTCTTCTGTGTCCGATACTCCATCTAGAAAAAGGATGGTGGTTATACAACAGATATATCTAATAAAACTGGTAGCGTTCAAACTTGAGACTCAGTAACTTCTAATATAAGTACAGTGAGGCCCAGAATTGAATTTTCTGTTTAATGGTGTTTGATAAAAATAAACAAAAGGATTATAGAAAAGAATAATTACATCTGCTACAGCCATCGCATCATCTTCACCGACTCCTTGCTCTTTCAGCTCCAGGACACGCCAAGCAAAAACTCGAGCTGGTGGTGGATCAAATCGACTTATCCTGAAAAGGATGGATAAACTGAGATGAGAAACTAGTCCTGTAGTTTGGTGACGCACAAAAGTGCAAAGGCACTATGTTTGCCGCAGCAGCTGTACTCTTTCAGTTTAGAAATATAGCATTGTTGTAGTTACAGGTATAAGGTGGGACTCCATTTTTTGAATCCGAATTAGCGAGGGGGATGGCAGATGTTACAAGACTTGAAGACTGCTTTAGTGCTTTATCAAATCTACTGTAATTGTTTCATCAAATAGTGCAATTGTTTGAAAAACATTAAACATTGCCCTTGGTATACATATGTTTACCGCAATCCCTCGTTTACAAAATGATGCAGCTAACTAGCTGAATATGGTAAGCCCGGTTGGAATAGTGAACTCTGCCAAGCTGGATTATTCAGTTACAGCACTTCAAATTGAGCTCTGCCTAAGCAGCCCTTTAGCTAATTTAAACAACACTAGCTGTAAACCTGAATGAGTCTGGAATTCTGGATCCAGTAAAAACAAGACAAAAAGAGAACTGTAACTCAATAATCACGAAATGATAGGTATTTATGTCATTATTGGAAATCAGTAACTCAGGATCTAGAATTAATGAGCATAACCACAGCCAAGTAAATTCTACAACTGAAGAATTCAAGCCGTTGCAACTCATAACTGTTCTATCTATCTATTCGGTTAACTAAACACCACAAATATCACAAACCACAAACAAAAAGTGAACAACAGTGTTTCATGTCTGATGAGGCCAACTGAAGTTGTAGTGCAGTAAGCGTACCATGACAAGCTGTATCAACAGATAACCATGCCCTCAAACAGAGAGCTAGAAATCCCCCTTACAACAGGGTCCTCAAGCAGAGAACCAGGAACCCCCATGGCCCATCCCTAAAGACAAACCTTGACTAGCGGCTAAGAAAGCAGCAGACAGAAGAGAACCATTGCTGCACAGAGCAGGGTTCAGCTCATGGACATCAAGAAATCACATAAGAAAAGAGAAGGATCTTACTTGATTGCATCATGGTAGAGCGAATCTGGATGTTTTTTTGTTGAACTTCCTAACATACACATCCTCAGGAAACTCGATTTTCTTGATCTTCCCATCTGGGCGAGGAAATGTCACTGGCGGTGCCCTAATGAACAAGCGTCACTTGTTTCAGTAAGCCAGAAAGCAGCATGAAGAACAAGAAAGGAAATGTTACATGAGGCAACTGATATGGCACTTTTAAACAATTTATTAAGCATACATAGACTCACCAGCCACCTTCGGTTCATACACATGTAGCACAACTGAACCAAACGAAACACAATAATACAAACCCGCTGACGACAACAGAAACTACAGCCAAGAATCACATCTATATATATGCAATACCACGGGGGGTCAGGGTTTTATTTAGAGAACAGTTAGGAACCAACACAGCGGTTTCAGCACAAAATCATGTCAATATTGCTACATCACTACAAATTATAGACCCATTGTCCATGGGTGAGCAATCAAATGGGGCCTATGCGATTGCTAGTAGAGGAGTTATTTATTTATTCACAGAATCCAAACAACCCTAAGAGGAGCCATCAACAGCAAGCAAATGGTCCACTGTCCTGACACTAACGGCGTCACGGATTCGAGAAATGCAAGTGTAAAGACACAGCTAGGGACGGGAAAAGCGAGAGGTTGTCATAGCGAGAGCACTGACTCTTCCATGGCCTTGAGCCAACCTGGGCTCGGGCCTGGCGAGGCCCTTCACCAGCTTCCGCATCTTCGTCAGCAGGTCCCCCCGCATGTACGACACCTCCCTCCTCTCTGCCGATCCGATCCGCTCCGCTGCGGGAAGCTCCCTCGCCGCCGGAGAGATCCGAAGTCTCGCAGAGGCGGAGGCGCCGAGAGACAGAACCGCAACAAAATGAAATTGGAAGTCTCACTTGCTGGGTATGGATGTGCGCACCTTAATGGGCCGCGGAAGAAACAGGCCCAAAGGTGACCAAAATTCATTTGCTCTGTCCGAGTTGTGAGCGATCACAGCATTTCTGGTAGGCTGTTTGCAGGATTCGTACAGTGGTCTATTTGCTTTGTTCTAGAAATGGTACGGTCTCTGTTACTTCAGTTGCTTATATACTTAGCTGCTGAAAGTAAGGCCCCGTTTAGATTCCAAAAAAATTTACGTAGTACCCGTAATATCGAATCTTGCGGTATATGCATGGAGTACTAAATGTAGACGAAAAAAAAACTAATTGTACAGTTGGGTGAAAAATCGCGAGACAAAACTTTTGAACCTAATTAGTCCATAATTAGACACTAATTGCCAAATACAAACGAAAGTGCTACAGTAGCCAAAATCCAAAAAAATTTAGATCTAAACGGGGCCTAACTGAAATAGGCTTTTGATCCATCATCAGGTCTGAAGTCTGAACCTTACCAGAACCGGACGACCTCTCAATTCACACAGATTTATCTGGTACCGGTGAACAGAGATGCATGTAGCGTAGAAAAGACGTGATATCTATACTTGACACTTCTCTCCCAGTTCAATCCTTTTTAAATTGGAGGATCACGAATTTCAACTAGTTGAAGAAAGAAAAGGGCCAATTTGTACTGTAGGCAGGCCCAGTAGGTTACGGCTAGCTTTCAACTGGGCCGGCCGGATCGGACTGGTCCTTACAAGGACGGGCCACAGCCTATGTCCGAGGTCCATTTCCTGTGGCCAGAACCCAAATGTTTAAGACTATAGTTGTCACAAGACGGCTGTCTCGTTTCTCCATAATAATAATAATAATTACAAAAACAAAAACCCAAGACGGCTGTCTCGTTTCTCCATAATAATAATAATAATTACAAAAACAAAAACCCAAGACGGCTGTCTCTTTTTCTCAAAAACAAAAAAGAAAAAGAAAAAGACGGCTGTCTCAAGTCATTTGAATGAATATGTACAAGAAGTGTATATCTTTATACAACACCATAGAAAATATGCAGCACCTCTGATAGATCCTCCTTGGTACCGGAACCGCCTTCACAATGGCAGCTCTATGACGTACACCCATATGTACCAGAACCATACGAGAATACACATCATCATCATTACTAGAAGGGGAGACGCTAGCGTCCAGACGTCTGCCCCCAAGAGGCGTCGAGACGCAGCTCCCATCCAGCCTGTAAAGTTATCTGGTTCCACCGTAGTAATGAGGGATAGCCACGCTTCGCGCCTGCCTGCCACACAGTGGGGACGCCCATGCCCCTACCGCCACCCCCTCCCTTTCCCTTTGCGACACTGTTGCCGCTCCATCCCTCCGCTTCCCATGCGCATGCATGACGGCAGGTGGGTCACATTGCAACATGAGCAACACCATATCTACTTTTGCAACATCCAGATGAAACACTTGCAATATACGTCTGAAACACCAGAAAAACACATGTGTAGCCATTGCAAAATATATGCAACATCCAGATGAAACAGTAGAAACATATGTTTGAAGCGTAAACATACGCTTGCAACCATACATATATATGCAGCATCTAGATCTACTTTTGCAACATCCAAATGAAACACTTGCAACATATGTCTGAAATAGACAAAACAGTCGGAACATACACTTGAAACATACGTGTATAGCCATTGCAATATGTGCAACATCTTGATCTATTTTTTACAACACCGATATAAAACACTTGCAACATACCTCTAAAACACTTAAAACATACGTTTGCAAAACTTGCAACGTCGCGATTGTCCTCCATGGAGTTGTTCACAACGTGGCTCCGGATACCAGTTGTCAGTTGCTTGATAGCCCCTGCAGCCGACAGGGAGGATGAGCGGCCGGTTAGGGCGGCTGGGCGGTGGCCTGATTGGTAGGGCGGCGGCGGCGGTGGCAGCTCGGCGGGGGTGGGCTGCCACGCTCTATGCCATGCAACCATATCTACAGAAACTTATGATAATGCACATCATCATGAGAGAAGATCAAGCCACAGAAATGCATGAGAAGCTATAGAATACTTCCCTTTATGTGTTAGTCAGCTGCTGAAACTAGAATATAATTACTCTGTTGATGAATGAATTCACTCTTTCTTTCGCAAAACAAAAAAAAAGAGAAAGAAAGAAATGCATGAGAAGCATACCAATATACTATAACTACGTACAACTAGTTTGGCAATCACTATAACCAAATGTATGGACAGAGACTGCACTGGACAGTGGACAGAGATCATTTTCGCTTAGGGCACCATTTGCTTACCCTGTGTTTAGTTTCAGGAAGTTGGAATTTGGGATATTGTAGCACTTTCGTTTTTATTTAGCAATTAGTGTTCAAACATGGACTAATTAGGCTCAAAACGTTCGTCTCGTAATTTCCCACCAAACTGTGCAATTAGTTTTTTTTCGTCTACATTTAATGCTCCATACACGGACCGCAAACATTCGATGTGATGCTACTGTAGCACTTTTTGAGATTTTGGGTTGAAACTAAACATGGGCTTAATCAGGGACATGTATCACAAACACCATTTGCTTAGTGGACTACTAGTACCCTCACTACTGCAACCAGTTACCTGGTCACCTGGACAGGGCAAAGTTCACTCCCTGACACGTCCACCAGTTTCCACGGTGCTACTCCTGCTGTACAGTACTACTACACATGTGCATGCGAACAGGGCCCCACTAGGCGTCACCTCACCTTCACCTCTGTCGCAGTTCCGCGCTGCCGAGTACTCCTCTGTCAAGAAAACATGCGACTACGTTCGCAAAAT